ACCTTTTTTCCAAAGAGTGTGTAGTTTTAAATATGAAATAACAAAAAGTAAAAACAGTTTAACAATAGAGAATGCGGGAAGGACACGCATATCCTATTAAATTCAGAGAGTGACGTAAATTTAGGTATCAAATGGGTCAACTTAAGTTAAACTAAAGTGCCAATCTGCCTCAGTTTCAATGAAGCTTAACTGATATTTCAATGCACTTGGGATAAATGTGGACATACCTCACCACATCAGACAAAACCAGTGCAGATACCACAGCCACATCAGCTGGCCGCAGAGAATGGACTGTGAGAAGGATAATAAGACAATTTATACACTGAAATCAAGCCTATATGTTTATTTATAAGATTCTTGTAGATTCCCTTACCAGAAACTGGAGTGCTAGGTGAGGGGGCTGAATCAGCACAAAACAGGGGACCAGTCTCAGCTGCAGAAACAAAACAAACCCTTATAAGCCACTGACACACTTGGTCAAACTGGACTCGTTCACATGGAAGCACAATTTTGGAGTGACAAATACCATCAGTAAAGTCTCAGGATAATCTAATGAAGCTTTATGCATGAAATTGAAAGAATAGTGCCAGAATATCAAGAGTTATTAAATACCTGCTGAACACATGCATGCTAGAAGGGCCAGGATCATAATCTGTGCAAAGGAAGAGATATCTTTTATTCCCATGATGGAAAGAATCATCCACTTCTCTGCTTTGAGCCGTCTGGAGTAAAGAGCAGATCTGAAACAAAACTGTTCAAACGTTTAGTGACAGCTGCTCTGGTATATGACTGTAATCTTCCTCAATCTCGTAGACACGCCTCCTGTTAGTTTGCGTGTTTCAAGGTAGATGGGATTTATTATTACAGATCTGTCCTATCACTTATCAAGGAGTTTATTGGTATAATATTGACTAAGTTTATAGTCCTGGTTTTATACAGGATGATATAACAAAATAAATTTCACTGAAAAAAAGAAAGATATTCATGAAACTGATGGTCCATCAGAGGACTGTGAAAAGTGGATATTGGAAATTCTTAAATCTGTTTTAGAAAACACTGTAATAAATTAAACTCAACACAACTTGATGCATTCAGATTTTTAGGTTCTCTTAACTATTTACACTACTTTGTTTTGGCAATTTAAATGCATAAAGGCAACTACAGATTTATTGCTCAACAATTTATTCTGTATATTAGGATATAAAGATATAATATGTTAAGTGAAATATGCCATGTGCAAACACTTGACACAAAAAAACCTTTGACAATCGATAAATGTGAAAAGAGTAGCTCTTAACATCAAATACAACAAATAACTAACCATAATGACAAAAAAATGTCAGCAAAGAGCAAGCAATAATCCTATAACAGTACTCACATCATTTATTCATGCTGTAGTGCATGCTGGGAACTCAAAAATCCTTAATATTTCAGCAATATTGTTCAAATTTGTTCAGACAGCTGCGTTTGACAGTGACAACATTTGGGGGAATTCTGTTGGTCTAACATGGATGTAGTTTTAATTCATATTTCTTAGTATTTGTTGCACAATATGTCCAGTAAACTACAAAAAATATAGTTTAGATATAGATATGATTAGATATGAATAGATACGGAGAATGAGGAAAGTCATTAAAATTTGTGAAGATTTACAGCTTCTCTCATTGATAAGATAAACGATCCTTCCTGAGCTAACATTGGCAGATAACATGAGGATAACAACGATTTAATTTATGTAACGTTGCACGTGAATCTACAGCTCAAAATGTGTGACTGATAATAAATTAACATAATTTTTTTCAAAACAACATTGATTGTGACAGCAACAAGATGACAGTTAAGATGTACGTCACGCCATATAGACTTGTCTCAAAATGTGAACTAAATACAATAAAATCTTTTAAGATTTATTTAAATGGATCCAAATATGATAATGAACATGTTATGATATTAACATTTTTCAGAATATTATGAAAAAACTTGCTGAAGTAAACCAAGGTGGCATTTAAACCCATAAGAAACTCCTATCTGAGGTCTCGAAACAGCATGCTTTGATAGAATTGACTGTGCCCTGGGATGATTGAATGGAAGAGACATTCAAAAGAAAAAGCGGCAGGTACAAAGGTCTGATTGGACAGTGCCGAGAGAGGAGTTGGATAGCTTGCGGGTACACTTTGAAGGTTGAATGCAGAGTCTTTGCATGCTGTTCTCTCTACAGAGCATTCACTGCGTTGGGGTTGAGAGAAGAGCAGCCATTAGACTTCAGCTATCAGGTGATCCAGGGCCAAACACTGCTGGGACACAGGTCGGGGCTTGATCACCCCTGGCTGGGTCACCTGGGAGAGGGTGTATGATGTTGAAAGACCCGAAACACCCAGGAACATCACTGATGATGCATCCCAGTTCATGCCTTGGATGTATCTTTCACCTGGGGATTTTCTAGTACCTGTGGTATTTGTCCCATTTAGTGGATTTTTGTTTGGTGAGGGGGCCCCTAGACTTCCCAGTCATAATGGACCTATGACAGGTTCGATTATTTTTAAGTCAAGTCAAGTCACCTTTATTTATATATCACTTTTTACAATACAGTTTGTATCTAGGCAGCTTCACAGTGACAACATGGAAATAAAACAAGAAGTTTGTTTCTAGAAGAAAATTGAGTCATCGTCCACCTCAAGTAAGGGAGATCAATAATATTGTTGAATATTAAATGTCGCCAACTAAGCAAGCCAAAAGACAGAGCAACAGTGGCAAAGAAGCAAAACTCCATCAGGTGACAGAATGGTGAAAAAACCTTGGGAGAAACCAGAATCAGTCAGGGGCCAGTTCTCCTCAACGAACGAACGGTGTATGATTATGATTCAGGCAACATTACTTCCCTTGTGTTGTGGTCGAGTCCAGGCTGATCTGGATCCAGCCCGGATCCGGCTGACTTCAGTAAACCTCGGGAATAAATGGAGAGACTAACACTAGCGCAGATGCCATTCTTCTTATGGCGTAACGAGTAAATCGGGTGTTGAAGTGTCCTTCACTGTAAAAAAATATTTTCAAGATTTGTTATCACAACATATTTGTCAAATCAACTTTATAATAATTTATTTAGTTGAGTTGAGTTTCTGATGATTAAAGGAATCTCCTTCATTGTATTAACTCACTTTTTCCAGTTCAATCGACTTAAAATTTTAAGGCAACCCAGGTTACTTACTTTTTTAAGTTAAACCAACAATATTTTTTAACAGTGTAGTAATCACAACATTTTTTCTTTTGTCAAATCAACTTAAATAATTTATTTAGTTCAGATAACATATAATTTTGAGTTTTTGATGATTAAAACATTCTCCTTCATTGTATTAACTCACGTTTTCCAGTTCAATGAACTTAAAATTTTAAGGCAACCAGGTTACTTACTTTTTTAAGTTAAACCATCAATATTTTTTACAGTGCTGGTTCTGGATGACCTACAGTAATCTATGCAGCCTAATACTCATTTAACTGATTTGAATAATAGAGATGTATAATATTTTATGTGAATGCCAGGTTAAAGAGATGTTTTTTTATTCTAGATTTAATCTGACAGAGTGTGTCTGCTTCCCGGACAATGTTAGGGAGACTGTTCCAAAGTGCTAAATAGGAAAATGATCTACCGCCAGCAGTTGATTTTGATATGTATTATCAACTGGCCCGAATTTAGAGATCACAATAGACGTAAAGGACTATAATGAGCTTGCTCAAGTACTTGGGAGATAACCCATTTAGTACTTTGTAAGTAGTTAGCAATATTTAAAAATGTTTAATAGCGAGCCAATGCAGTGCCGACAAGTACTGGGATAATATGGTCATATACATCCTAGTTCTAGTGAGAACTCGAGCTGCTGTGTTTTGGACAAGCTGTAGTTTGTTTATTAAGCGTGCAGGGCAACCACCCAGTAGAGAATTACAATAACCTAGCCAAGTTGCGTTTTTTTAACAAGCGGTTTAATCATAGCCTGCTTAAAAGTTTTTGGTACGTATCCTAATTACAAAAATGAATTACTGATATTAAGAATATTATGACCTCTGGAAGCATGTCTTTCAATAGCTTAGTCGGTATAGGGTCTAACAAACATGTTGTTGATTAAGATGATTTAACAAGTTTAGACAATTCTTGCACTCCCGTAGCAATGAATGAATGGAATTTTTCCTCAGGGAGACTACAATGGTTTCTCATTTTTAGTTGAAATAGGCTAATAGAATAGGCTACTTGAATAAACTTATTTTTCATAAGGGTCTGCAGAGACATTGCCTTGCTGACATTTTCTGTTGTTTTGCTGATATTTATACATTATGTCCTGGGACTTGTTATTGCTTGAAGCTATATTTGTGGCCTTGGCTATGGTCTACTTTGGAATTTCTTATTTTTATCTTTTTGAGGTTAATGACCTAAAGCAAAGATGGGGTGACAACAACACTAATCACTAATATCTTTAAACAGCAACTGACTGTAGAGTGAACTATGTTTTGATTCACATTTATTGTTGCTGTAATCTAAATTGATGTGATGATGACGATGTTGTAAAAAATATATTTTTTGAAGTAGCCTTCGTGTAAATTAAGTTAGATTTGTTAAGTGAACGAAAAATTCTCGTCTCTTTCTCGACTTTTCGTTCATTTAGCCTAATTAACAAACAAACAAACAAACAAAAAAAGTTTTCAAAGGCATAAAAATGTTTGAAAAAACTATCCACCAGCAGATGGCGATAAGAGATTGGAAAGATATTGGATGTTATTGTTTTTTTTTTTATTATTTTTTTTTTTATTTGCATTATGTACAGAACAAGACAGGGAACATACAAAAAACTGTAAGACACTTCCATTTAGATCAATACAGAGTATGGATTTAGAAAGATTGGATGTTATTGTTAGGCATTGCAAATTCTTATAATTCACATTGGAACACCTGCTGCTTCACATGTAAATCAATAGATGGCGCTGTTTCGGAGATTAAGCCGATGGTAGAGAATCAATGGGGTGGAGGAGAGAGGAGAGCCCCGGGTCCACACTTCACTGGATGCGGCAGCGGCATGTGGACGACAGACTCACCGGAGACGTGTGCGGGTACTTCATGTTGACCGGTCCGGGCACACACTGGAGCCCATGACCCGCCGTGATGGCTGGGGGACGCAGAGGACTGGTGGCCCCACAAAACACTTTTCTGGAAAATATTGTCCGACGGTCTAACGGTAAGACGCAACTCTACATCCAATACAGCGCACATACAGAAATAATATAAGCTGTAGTGTCGCAGATAAAAAAGAAAGCAAGCAAAAACTTTGGGTAGCCTTAATAAACAAGAGAATTAGAATTACCTTTAGGCTACATAAAGACGTACTTTTGACAATACACTGAACCATAAATAGCCTACACACTAAAAAGTTAAATGTGTGTGTTCACGCGGGGAGAAACATGCAGGTGAATTCTGTAATGAATACGTTGTTGTAATTTTTTTTTTTTTTTTTTTACATTTCGAAAAAACGTTAAATAAATATTTTATAGCGTAAGTAGCCTACTATATTTTTCAAGATTTCTTATATAGGTTACAAATATAAAGATCACACTTATATCTAATATATAATTTTTTTGTATATTATAAAAATTATACAAATCTTTAAAAAGAGTAATGGGCTGCAGGAAGGTATTATTCTGTATTCACTGCGTGACAGCCTTTACCCATTTGAGTTGTTCTCATTCATCCTTCCATCAGGAAGCTTTGTGGGAAAGAGAACAAGTTTAGGTTAGATTAATATTTAATAGCAATTAATATTTAAGAAAGCTGAAAGGTTGAAAACTGTCTGAGGATCTTCACCAGCACTATCGCGTTTTTAGGTCCTTGGAGTAGGTCCTTAAAATAGAATCAAAGATCTCTTTTATTGATGTTTATCCATCAGGACCTCTTTTTTTATTTATGAAGTTTCATTATGCAAAAAACATGCATTATATCCATTTAAAGCTGACTGAACCTCAGCTGTCCACAAATGCCCAGTGGACACCTCCTCTGCCCCATCCACTTGAACACTTAACCCCAGTTCAGAGATCTCTAAACTTGTATTCTGCTTTCAAAAATAGTGAAAATATGTACTTCTCATTGAAGTAGGACTTCTAATATTCTAAAAACATTGATGTCTGTATATATGACCTGCTTGGTCATAGGGTTATGGCCGTCTTGGAGAAGAACAGGAGGACAAATTCCTCTACCTTCTGGTGTGTTTGTGTTATTTTAACTCTTTTTCTGTTTTCTTTAACTTCCAGTTTGGACATTATCACATAGACACACAGGTATAAACCTCACTGAGCAGAATACTTGTGCTTTAACCTCTTCCATCCCTACATTATCTCCCCCCCCCCCTCTCTCTTTCTACTTTCCCTCCCTCCCTTCCTCTTTTTCTCTCTCTTTCCCCCTACTACTTCCCATTTAACATTAAATATTGTTCTATACCAATTTCTGTTAATTTACAAACCGATAGTTTGAATTCTATAACGATAAGCTTGTGGTTAAAGTGGTTTAACAGTGCTGTTGATATTTAAAAGCTGCTTAGCTGTGGTGAAAGTTACCATGCAGATGTTGCTCTCTGGTCCTCATTTAGCGCTGACAGCACTTGCTGTAAAATAACAAATGTTGGCATGGAACCTTTTTTTTCCTCCATAGTGGTGCGTGTGAGTCCGTGTGTGTGTTTGTTTCAGTGTGGAGTGCACTTCCCGTGTTTATGCTCAGTAGAGGAGAACTGTGCTCTGTGGCAAATCCACCACCATGCTCTTACATGAATTGATATCATGGACCTGATTTATCCTTCACTTCTTATTCCGATGCTGCCCCTCCATTTTCTGTTTGTTAGGACATTTACTCATCTCACATTTACCATACAAGCAATAGCCATAGAAATATAAAATGTTTTTGTGCGTTTGTCATATGTGCAGTCAAAGTGAAAAAATGTTGCCATTCATGTTATGTCTGAATGAGGCAAAGGACGTATTTTATAATGAAAAAAAAGTGCATGTTTTATTTTAATTTGTTCTATTTTATTTGACAATATATGAGTTCATTTTAGTGTTGATAGTTGGGGTCAAAATCTGAAATTCAAAATTTAAACTTAAAAATAAAGTTTTAGGATTTTTATGAATGCTTTTATGAACTTTTATGAATGCTTTAAGGTAAAGGCTAAACCATTTCTCTACTGTAAAATCATCTAAACTCTAATATATCTTTTTGAGCTTTACTTACAAAAGTTAACACAACTTTTTTAATTGTCATTTCAAATACATTGGACAAATCAATTGGATGATTAGAACACTACGTTAAGTTTACTAACATAAAAAAAAAGATTTTACAGTGTAAGTAATCAAAAAAGCAAATTTGTGACAGTGATCACATGAAATCCTTAAAGGGATACTCCACTTTTTTTGGAAATAGGCTCATTTTACAACTCCCACAGAGTTAAACAGTTGAGTTTTACCGTTTTCAAATCCATTCAGCCGATTTTCTGATATTTAGAAGAATATCAGTAACCATAGTATATACTAAAATGAGCCTATTTCCAAAAAAAGTGGAGTATCCCTTTATTTTTTTTAACCTTGAATGTAAATATATCGATAAAGACTGATGAAAGTCATGAGACTGTCTTCATACTACAAAGGACAACGTTTTAAGTCAATTTCTTGCTTTTCACTGGCCCTCATTTGTAACTGACTATGTTTTTAATTCTCTTATATCGGATTACAAGTTGTATAGTGTTACCGTGAGCTTGCTCAAGCTTTGAGATACATTTGTTAAAAGTGCTACTGGCTTACTCAGCAGTGGCTAAATCACTACTGTCAGCTAATCAGCTTGATAGCTGCTTAACAAGCTAGCCACTAACACACTAACATTGACAGACATTGCAGGAAAGGTTAAAGCAAGGTTACAGAGATGAAGCTTCACTACAGAGGACCCTGGCACAGAGAGTTTTCTTTTCAACACAGACTTTTGGAAAAACACTCAGAAGTAAATGTTTGCGTATAATTGGGTTTGACGGGATTGACAGCTTTGAATAGCAGAAATTGTCTCTGCAAAGACTCCCGTAGTGCATTTGGACCATGCAAAGACTTAAAAGAGAGTGTTTGAAAGTTTTGTGAAGATAACTGAGGGTTTCAAAATTTGTACTGTTATTTTAGCCACTTTCTCACAGTATTATGGGTATCAGATAATTTAATTCTGTTCAGCCAAAATATTGGTACTATATGCCGTTCAAAAGTTTGGGGTAAGATTTTTAAAAATGTTTTTGAAAGAAGTCTCTTATACTCTACAAGGCTGCATTTATTTGATCTAAAATACAGTAAAATTGTGAAATATTATTTCAATATAAAATAACTGTTTTTTTATTTTAATATATTTTAATATGTAATTTATTCCTGTGGTGGCAAAGCTGAATTTTCAGCATCATTACTTCAGTCTTCAGTGTCACATGATCCTTCAGAGATCATTCTAATATGATGATTTGGTGCTCAAGAAACATTTATGTTAAAAAAAAATCGTGCTAAAAAACCATGCTACATTTTCAGGATCATTTGATGAATAGAAAGTTAAAAAACAGCATTTATTTGAAAAAGAAATCTTGTGTAGCATTTTGTAACATGTTTACTGCTACTTTTGATGATTTTAATGTGTTCGGCTGAATAAAAGTATTATTCCCCCACAAAATAAAATCTTACTGAAACTTTTGAACAGTAGAATAAAACATAAGCTATTCATAACTGTACAGGTGATAAAACACAACTGTTTATTTTGGTGAGATGTAAAACTGATGTAACAGTGGAAGTTTATGTCCAGTATACAGGTTTGATGAAGTATATCTCATTTACTTGCTTATAAGCGTCTCAAACAAAGTTCTTGAACATCTTTAAAAGTTTTGATGCGTTCAAAATTCAACACCAATTAGATATTTCATAGACCTCTCCAAACCTATGCACTTTGACTTCGATTAATGACAGACAAGTCATCAATTATATTTGAACTCAATGTTTTTAGGCAGATCTTTTACATTTTCTATGCACTATGGATCACAATAGTCTGTGGGTGGTTTTGTGGGCTGTTTGACGCTGAGACTACCATATGTTTCTTTCTGTTCACTTTAACAAGCAAAAAAAACAAAAAAACAAAAACAAACTGAGATAAACTTGTCATTGTATTTAAATGGGGCTCTAGTATAATGTGGCAGTGTTTTATGTGCTAAAGCAACACGTAGTGCTGTGCAAAACTATCTCAGGCACAGACCTATAAAATAAGGATGAAATACTCAGTGTTGTCATAAACATGTCAGATCAGTGGCTTTCGGCTGCCGTGACACTGTCCACTCATTCTGCCTCATGTGACATTACCATAGCGACTGACTCCTTCCTTTCTTACTGTTGACCTTGTGCCTGGTTCCTCTCACCTGCTTTCTCCCCATACCCTCCTGTGCTCTTTCCACAGACACAAATTTTGTGCTGGGGAATGCCCAGATCGTAGACTGGCCCATCGTTTACAGTAATGATGGCTTTTGTAAGCTGTCCGGCTACCACCGTGCTGAGGTCATGCAGAAAAGCAGCACTTGCAGGTATCAGACATTACGCAGAGCTTAATGATGGTTGCATGTTCTAGTTTCTATATCATATCATATAAAAGAGAGGAAGGTAGAGACAGTTCATGTAGGATTGCACTTGACATATATTGCACTCCACGTACAATCTACCATTTACAGTAGTATTTGATAACACAATGTACAAGATAGTAGAATACTGTTTGTAATGAAGTATGCCTGCAATACAACCAGTATATGAACAGTGCAATATTGTATTACAATATGCAATACAATACAGTACAGTATATTGTACAACCCAATACCCTGTGTGTGGAAATTTGGGAAGTAAGACTGGGAAGCAAGAATGCATTCAATTGTTCACAAGTGATAGTAAACACTTTTTTGATGCTACAAAATATTACTATTTCAAATAAATGCTGTTCTTTTGAAATGTCTATTCATCAAACAACCCTGAAAAATGTATCCGTTTCCACAAATCATAATTAAATTGATAATATTAAGAAATATTTCTTGAGCACCAAATGATTTCCACCATATTAGAATGATTTCGTAATGATGCTGAAAATCACAGAAATAAATTACATTTTGAAATATGTTGAAATACAAAAAAAACGTTATTTTAAATTGTTCTAATATTTCGCAATATTACTGTTTTCAATGTATTTTTGATCAAATAAATGCAACCTTGGTGAGCATAACAGGCTTCCTTTAAAACGGTTAAAAAATCGTACTGACTTGAATGGGTTGAATGAGCACAGTCTAATATATAAATAATTCCGTTACAGTTCATGAGCCACAGTTTTCTACATTGCAGGTGTTAAATGTCAGAAATAGAATTGTATCTGAGAAATTGGCTGTCTTCTGGAGAGTTGTAGTTTAGTTATTGAGCCAGCAAGCTTTGAACTCTGACTTTTCCCTGATATACCAAACAGAAGACAAGCTCATTAGAGTCTCAGTTTCAGATGCTTCAAAGAAAGACATATTTGTAGAGTCTCTTGAACATACCATCCCTCCCTCTTTGCTTCTGTCATCACAGTAAAGCAAAGTTGAACTTGTTTTCAGTCAAATTTAGATTTTATCTGCCCATCATGACTAAACAGATCAATTAAGCAACAGACTGACCCACCCATAAATTCACTTGTAAAATCTCTAGAGATCGAACATGAAAAAAATGAACCATTTACTCACCTTCAGTTTGTGCCAAACCCATGTCACTTTCTTTCTTCTGTGGAACACAAAATGAGAAATTTAGTCCATCTGACCATATGTTGTCAACAATCCTCTCTTTAGTTTTGGCTTTAGAAGACTTGCAATAAATCACACAATTCATATGGGCTATTATTATGGCACTTTTTGTTCACTATTCTCAAATGGTACTCAAAATACTCAAAAGTTTGACCACCCCTATAACAGTTCAGTTCAGTCATGTCCATTCTGCTAAAGTTCTACTTTTGTGTTCCACAAAAGATACAAAGTGAACTGCATTTTGAATGACATGAGTAACACACACTGAAAACTCTGATTGTGATTTGCATTTGTTTTCTCTTTCAGCTTTATGTACGGAGAGCTCACAGATAAGGACACATCTGAAAAAGTCCGGCTGACTTTCGATAACTATGAGATGAACTCATTTGAGATCTTGATGTACAAGAAAAACCGTGAGCATTACGCACATACAGACTCATGCAGATGCACACACACCCGAGCTTTGAGAACTAGGAGCAGGAACACAGCAATCCTGGTGCATAAATTTGTGATGCTAATCTATTAATGAATATGCATAAAGGTGTAAAACAGAGCCAAGACAGAATAGAATATTTTTTTCGGACAAGTTTTTTTTCTGTCTATCATGTTTAAATGTATGTGGGTGTGTTTTTCCAGGAACGCCGGTATGGTTTTTTGTGAAAATAGCACCTATACGAAACGAACAGGAGAAGGTTGTGCTCTTCTTGTGTACGTTTAGTGACATCACAGCATTCAAACAGCCAATCGAAGATGACTCCTCCAAAGGTTTGTGTTGTTCATATGTATTTTGAGTATATTTGTGAGTGAACGTTAACTGTCATTTCTGTGTTCAGGCTGGGGGAAGTTTGCTCGTCTGACCAGGGCTCTGACCAGCAGTCGGGGGGTCCTGCAGCAACTGCAGCCCACTGTACATAAAGGAGAGAATGTACATAAGCACTCGCGCCTTGCAGAGGTACATCTGTGTGTGCACATCAGACCGATACATTTCATTTCATTTTACGCCTGTGAGTGATTCTGGTGTGTGTCAGCATGTGTTCGCATCCATCTGTGTAAAAGATCAAACTAACACTTGGACGGATTTCCTCTCACACTGTGTGTTTTCAGTAGACACACTCCTACTGCAGGGAGATTAATTAGATATGTGGGGTGTTTTTGAATACTTTACAAACCAGGGTCAGGAATTAACAATATTGGGGCCAAAAGGCCACCAAATATGAAGAAATGTGAAGAAAGAACTAAATTCTAGCCAGGGCTAAAAATTATACTAGTATCACATAAAAGCTGTCATGCAATGGAGATGCCAGGATTATGGTGACAGTAGACATGAGCAGTTTAAAATGACTTTATAATCTGCCCCAGCCAATTATTTTCTGTGAATGAGTAAAAGAAGAACAGTCTGGTGTATTGCAAAGCCACTGGAATGAATGAATGAATGCATATGAAATATTGATTTAAATTGAAATTATTTTATTATCTTAGAGATTGCAGAGAGACTGAACACTGAAAATGAGCAAAGCTGTGTAACATACTGTTACTGGTCAGAACTATAGTGTTGCCTTTGACAACAGTCATTATTCAGAAATATTTCACCGCTGAATGCCATGATTGACCAATCAGAATGAACTATTGCAGAAATCCATGTACTAATAAATGATAGCAGAAATGTAAATTATATAAATATATCATATAAATTAAATTGTTCAATTGAAATGGTTAAATTCATTGATTGAAATGGTTCATGTAACTAGATCTACATATGACAGTTAAAAAAATCCACATTTTTATTCGACATTGTTTAATTTGAATGAAAGGAATTTAGAGAAATTTAGGTTAAAAGATTATATATTTATATATATTTTACATAGTATGTTTCTATTTATTCTTCAATAATATATAATCTTAACATTTATTCTAATTCTAGCATTTTATTTTAGTCAGTGACAAGGCTTCATTGCTATCTATTAAACAGAAGGGTAACACTTTATTTTGATGGTCCCTTTTGAACATTCTGTTGACTATAAGTAACTTTTCAACTACATGTCAACTAACTCTCATTAGAGTATTAGTAGACTGTCAGCTTAATATTTGCCAAATCTTTATTGTGATGCTCCTCCAACAGACAATCTACTGACTATAAGTAACTTTGCAACTACATGCCAACTTATTCTAACCCTAACCCTACCAGTCTACTAATACTCTACTAACACTCTAGTGAGAGTTAGTAGAGATGTAGGTACAACGTTACTTATAGTAAACTGAATGTGTTAAAGGGACCATCCAAATAAAGTGAAACCAACAGAAGATATGAGAAGAGATGTTTTACAGGATGTGAGGCGAGTCTCCTGTAATGGGCATTACTGCTTAGACGGGTCATTCCTCTTCCTCTCCGCTCATATAAACGATTCCACTGCCTCTCTCTTTCTCATGCAGGTTCTCCAGCTGGGCTCAGATATCCTCCCCCAGTATAAACAAGAGACACCCAAGACCCCCCCTCACATCATCCTGCACTACTGTGCCTTTAAGACCACCTGGGACTGGGTCATCCTCATTCTAACCTTCTACACCGCCATCATGGTCCCCTACAATGTCTCGTTCAAAACCAAGCAGAACAACGTCACCTGGCTGGTTGTGGACAGCATTGTGGATGTGATCTTTCTGGTGGACATTGTACTAAATTTCCACACCACGTTTGTGGGTCCAGCCGGGGAAGTGATATCAGACCCGAAACTGATTCGCATGAATTACTTGAAAACCTGGTTTGTGATTGACCTGTTGTCCTGCCTGCCTTATGATGTCATCAATGCCTTTGAGAACGTGGATGAGGTCAGTACAACACATTTATTTGCCTATACACACACAAACATGAAAAAGGATTAATCAGTGATCGAATCAATATGTCTGTGTGATGAGATTTACCACTGGTTTTGCTCTGGTTTTCCAGTATGCTGAAGTGCTTGTTTCTCACAATGTTTAAATCAAGAAGATATATTGGAAGTCCTTAAATAAAACAGCACACTGCAATAATTTCAGAGGCAGGAACATGTAGTTTACGTAAGATATGTCAGGTCAAGGAGTTCACAAGTAAACTTAAAGAATATATTTTGGATATTACAAAAATAGTAAAGGTGAATTTTTTTCTCTGTTAGCAGCAACTAGAATCCGAGCATCACAGTACAATTTATTGCAATTATAGAGTGCTTCAAGGGTGACTTTTTTTTTGTAGGCCAACCAGAAAGTTAGCATGCATCACCCTGGAAAAAAAAATCCATTGGTTTGTGTTTACACAATATATGTGGGTGCACTGTTAATAATTATTTTAGACATATAAATACACACACATGCTTGTATATTCATACTGTATATAGATTTATCTACAATTTATATTATACATAAATATAAATATTTTATATATTCTTAAATATACATGCATTTATAAATATACACAAAATAATTATACACAGTGCACCCACATATATTATGTAAACACAAACTTTTATTTTGGATGCGATAAATAGCTTGCTTATAGTTGTCCCCATACTAAGTTGGGATGATATTATAAAATTAAGGAAAAAAATATGAACATCACCTTTAAACTCATTACGCTAATTGTTTGTTTTAAGATCTCTTCAGCTAGTCTAGTGGCAGTTAAACAGCAAAATTGATCTCAGATCAGTTTCTTGGTCCACACACACTGCCCAAGCCAACAGCCCAACAATTGAACTTTGACACAATATTGATATTCACTAGACTAGAGCTCCAAATAGGAAGTACATACAAGTAATTGCTTGTACCACATTTAATGCACTACTCAATTTTATAAACTCTTTTGTTTCTTTAATAATAAGTCTTTAGATTTTGCTTAATGTCTGTGGCCTTTATGCACAGAGCTTCTGTGCTGATTTGATTAGCTGAAAGGCTTTAAATTTGCCAAAATGGGTCTGTGAGTATTATACATTGTATGGCTACATAAATGCATTATCCGATATATCTGAATATAACAATAAACAAACATGCAAGGGACAGGCGAAGTGGAGAGCATTGTCCCGTGTGGGCCTGGTAATAGACATATTGCAGAAAAGCACTATTCTGAAGAAAACTTAGCATTGGGCAATCTTGCATTAAAGAGAAAACCTAGCATTGATGTTACAACTCAATGATCTAGGGAAGATCTTAATAAGTTGCTACCTAGGGTCCACTTGTGTCCTCCTTATATAGATTTGATTTAAAATGCAACAAGGGAAAGGACTGCAACAAATTAAAAAATCTATACCAAAAGAGTGAGACTCAAAACACCTCAAAACACCTGTTCAGAATAGCTATTAAAACTGTGTATATCGTTACAACTGGCAGTATAACAGCCCTGCAACATTTAACGAATCATTTGTCTGAGTACTTTGTATGAGGGAAAGTATTTGAGCTTGAAATCTTCGTTGCTAATTAATATTGATCGGGATGCGTGAGAGCGAAGCACACAAACCCTTTCATTGATCATGGCCTAAGAGTTCTTTTCCATGCTATCATATTTACACTTTGAATTTTTATTTAAAGCATTTGAGTGCTTTTGAGTAGACGGTAGATCTTTATTGGTGCACCTCTCTCTCTTTAACTCTCTATATGTCTCTCTCTCTCTCTCTTTTGCTCGCTGAATACGGGTGATGGTATGGTAAAGATGGGGACTGTTGCGTGATATGCTGTGCTTGTGAGGTTGGAGTTTGTGTACCAGGATGAAGCTTTTGCTCTCGATCAATCTCTGACCATATATAACGATTTAAACTGAGCTGTCTGTCTGCATTTAATTGAACTCACAATCAATTCCCGCCACTGCACAGAGGATGAGCGCAATCTTTCCGCCTTATGTTAACTGCCGTCACACCCCACACCTGCATTCCACAGCATTCAACAATTGTTTGTTCTTAAAGGGAGTTCACCTAAAAATGAAAATTGTGTAATCATTTACTCAAGTCTAAATGGACCTTTTTTTTACCTTGTAATATTTGATCAAGATATCATAACTGGACCTTATGGTGAAAACAACAGAGTTCTCTTTGGCAATGTATACCAGACCTCTTAAACGCAACTCACACTTACACACACAATCTAACTCAAGTTACAAATGAATATGATACCAGCACATTCACCCACTCAGACGCTCTTCCCTCACACACACACAGACACGCACACAAACACACACAGGATCCGAGCTTTCATCTTGCCCCTGGGCATATGGCTTTTCAGAGAGGCTGTCAGCACCAGTTTACCGTGATCAGCTACATCAAGCTCATCAGATCTGTCTGCGCATGCTGCCGGGCTTTGAGCTCAGCAGAATCAGCCCAAAGAACAGAGCACTACCATAAATAACGACATCCTCAGAGAGTTACGCAACACAAGGCGAATTAGATCCCGAGGTGACGAATTTCTGATGGAGAATAATGCACGCTGTCTGGTGTTTGCTTTCTGGCTGATTTGTATTGAAACAGCGGAGGAAACGGCTGGTAAACTACAGTTCACGCTGAGGTGAACCTTAACAGACATTTTGTCCTTTACATTAGGGAGAGCATTTGACGAATACAAAGGTTAGAAAAGATAATGCACCACTGAGTTTATTGAGACACAGACAACAGAAGTGCTAATAATACTGTAATAGTACAGTAGGACTGTTTGACTTCTGTTGACGTGCTGAGCAGACATTTTGGATTTTGTAGTCTTGAGTTGTAGTCTGTAGTCGGAAATCCGACTTGAGGGGGCATTCCAGTTAAAGGTTCCAACTGGGAACTCTTAATGACTCTTAATGAATTTATGACTTCCGAGTACAGATGGATTGCACTAATAGTATACTTTTAGTGCTGCTACAGGTAATGATAGAATTTAAAGGGTTAGTTCACCCAAAAATGCAAATTCTGTCATTATTTAATCAAACAGATCTCATTCCCCATTAGTAGGAAAAAATACATGAGATCTGTTTGATTAAAACATTCTTCCAAATATCTTCCTTTGTGTTCAGCAGAACAAATAAACACATAGAGGTTTGGGACAGCATGAGGGTAAGTAAATACTGACAGAACTTTCATTTTTCGGTGAACTAACCCTTTAATATTTAGTTTAGTCTCACAAGCTTGGCTGTCATCCTGTTAAAATGCCTCAATGTGCAGCATTGTCTTCCAAGCTTTATCACTATTTTTCATTGAGTTAATATGAACAATATCAACGAGCTTTCCACTATAATTCTTTAATTAACATGCCCTCAAACTTGGAAAGCCAACCCCTGAAGAAAATCCACAGCTTCTTATTGGTAATTATGACATTGTGGCGTTTATCTCATAAATACATCATTATTCCAACATAACCTAAAGGCAGCATTAGTGCATAATGCTGAAATTACTTGGGTGGGAAGTGTGCATCCATGTTTTTTTTGTTTTTTTTCAAACTACTGTAACACACACTATGGTATATTGTTAAACATACATAGAACTGTGCACAATCTCATCAGCAAATTCCTTTTTTTTGTGAATAAAAGAAAGCAAATTGGAATGCAACCAATATTTTTTTTTTCCCTAAGGACAAACACAAGGACCAGCCATACTTGCACACACATCTCTCCGTTCCATCATCTGGTACAGGTTCATATTGTTATGGCCTACAGGGAGAGCTGTGTGGTTTTTAATAATCGAAATCCTCCTTGGTGTTTCATTTCAAAACTTTTGTTTGCATAATTATCTTATGTTGCATAACCCTCGTATGATTTCACAGATACATCTGTCATCGTTTCACTTTGCCTTTAATGTTTTAGCAGCGCAAGCTCGATTATTAATGTCTGCGATGCCTGTGATCTCACTAACGATCCAGGCTCAGCTTTTTTACTCTTGATTTAAAGCTGCATGCTTTTGTTTGCACTGACTGTTAGTGTATTCTTCTGTTGACCATTGTCTCTATATTTTGTTTTTGTATTTTCCTCCCTCCTCATCCCTCTTTCTTTTTGCATGTCCCTTGCACTGCCTGTGTTTGTTGTGGGCGAATGAAGAACTGGAATCATCGAGCTGTCACTCAAGTAGGCCTTTCATTTCAAAACTCAGCATTTGATTGATATGCTGTGCCTAAGGGCATCAATCAGGCATTGGTGTAAACCAAAAACAGTATTAGAAGTTACCCTATTATTGTTTCATGTTTCTAATCAATTCAGTCAATGAATTTTTATCATTTAAACATTAGCTTGATGTGAATTAAACTGTATTGTCTGTGATGCATATGTCTGTTTACTCGGTGGATTTGTTGATCGGTATGTAAGGGAGTAATTCACCCACAATTAAAAATACAGATATTATTTATTTGCTTTAAAAAACCCATTTGCTGGTATGATTTGCACTGCTGGAACACAAATGGAGAATTTTTTCATACATTTTATAAACATTTGCATTGCTCTTTTCAGATAATATTTTATAGTGACCTCATCTGTTAAGCTCCAAAAAGCCAAAAAAGCACTATAAAAGTAGTCCATGCTTCTTGTACACTATATTTCATGTCATATTTCAAAAAATAAAAGTAAGAAAAACACACCAAATTACAAGTAATTACTAAAACTACTCATTGAACTTCAGTCTGAAAACATATATATATAAGATAATTTATTCAATGATCTATTTCTTGAGTTCAACTAACTGATTCAGTGATTAGTATTCAGCGGTTAAATAGTTAAAATGGTCAAGTTAAAGATTCATTGAGGGAAAGATTATCAATGAATAAAATGTAAAATTTCTGTCTGAAATTAACGCAAAGCTATTATATGGACAAAATGCCTTTTTTATGGAGATTTCTTTGGTAAATTTTCTGAGCTTAAAAGAGTAGTTCACTTTAAAAAAAACTTTTGCTGATCATTTAATCACCCCCATGTCATCCAAGATATCCATGTCATTCTTTCTTCAGTTGAAAAGAAATTAAGGTTTTTGATGAAAACATTCCAGGATTTTTCTCCATATAATGCACTTTACTGGTAACCAAACGGTTCAAGGTCCAAAAGACAGTTTCAGTGCAAACTGTTCAAAGGGCTTTAAACGATTCCAGACGATGAATAAGGGTCTTATTAAAGGATTAGTTCACTTTTGAAAAAACTTTTGCTGATAATTTACTCACCCCCATGTCATCCAAGATGTCCATGTCTTTCTTTACTCAGTCGAAAAGAAATTTAGGTTTTTGATGAAAACATTCCAGGATTTTTCTCCATATAATGGACTTCAATGGGAACCGGATGGTTCAAGGTCCAAAAGATAGTGTTAATAACAGTTTCAGATGCAGCTTCAAATGTCTTTAAACGACACCAGACGATGAATAAGGGTCTTATCATGCGAAACGATCGGTTATTTCAAAACTTATTCCAAAAATGTAACTTTTCTAAGGACAAATGCTAGCCTTGCTATATTCTCTGAGGCGCGTTTGTAACGTCACGTATTACGTAATTACGTTCAAAAGGTCACGGGCGACGTAGCCGGAAGTACAGAATCAAAATCGTCCGACATCGTTGTTTTTCCTTTTAATTCCTTTTTTTGTAAACGGTGTTTGAGCTAGTTTGCACGTTCAACCTATGCGTTCAACTTGTAAACACTGACTCTGTACTTTCGGTTACGTCGCCTGTGACCTTTTGAACGTAATTACGTAATACGTGACGTTGCAAACGCGCCTCACAGAATAGAGCAAGGCTAGCATTTGTCCTTAGAAAAGTGACATTTTTGAAATAAGTTTTGAAATAAGCGATCGTTTCGCATGATAATACCCTTATTCATCGTCTGGTATTGTTTAAAGACATTTGAAGCTGCATCTGAAACAGTTATTAACTGTCTTTTGGACCTTGAACCATCCGGTTCCCATTGAAGTCCATTATATGGAGAAAAATTCTGGAATGTTTTCATCAAAAACCTAAATTTCTTTTCGACTGAGGAAAGAAAGACATGGACATCTTGGATGACATGGGGGTGAGTAAATTATCAGCAAAAGTTTTTTCAAAAGTGAGCTAATCCTTTAAGCGAAACGATCGCTCATTTAAAAACAAATAACAACAAAGTTTAAGTTTTATAAGCTCAAATGGTTGCCTTGCTCTGTTCTGTGATGCGTGTTCGTGACTCTCCTGTTCGAACTCGTTTATCAAAATGAACGAATCTTTTGTCGTGTCATTTGGTTCATTCAACGAGCGAAATGACTCGGGAAAAGATTTGTTTATTTTCGTTCATTTGTTCAAATATTACATTTCCATCACTACAACTACTAGTAGTGGTTAATTTCCTGCTCTGTTCCTCAGAATAATGATTGTATAACTCTGATGTCAAGAAATAAGAAAACAAAATAGGAATAAGAGGGAAAAAGCATACTCTGACAACACAGAAGATTTTTTTTTTTTTGAAAAAGATAGTACACTTCGGTTATTTATGGCTACATTGCAGCTTGTTTTGTTCAGATCTGAGGAGCTCTTTGTTCTGCCTGCTCAGGTTCAGTTTCAGCTCTCTGTGTTGTTGATTTCAGAAGGCTGGCTTGGCAGACGCCTGTACATATTTATAAATGCAGAGAATTTGTGCGAAGAGAGAGACAATGAACTTTATTTTGACTGAAGAAAAGGAGTCTGTAGAATTGCTTTGACCTTTTATGTTTATAATTTGATAGATGGATGGATGGATGGATGGATAAAAACACATTTAAACAATTATACTGTACATTTAATTTTCTCTCCCTCTCTTTCTCTCCCTCAGGGTATCAGTAGTTTGTTTAGTTCCCTGAAGGTGGTTCGGCTGTTGCGTCTGGGCCGGGTGGCTCGTAAACTTGATCACTACATTGAGTATGGAGCTGCTGTTTTGGTTTTGCTGGTTTGTGTGTTTGGATTGGCGGCCCATTGGCTGGCCTGCATCTGGTACAGCATTGGAGACTATGAAGTCATTGACGAGGATCGTAACACAATACGTACGGACAGTTGGCTTTATATGCTGGGTGACACCATTGGGTCACCCTACCGCTTCAATGCCAGTGCGGGAAGATGGGAAGGCGGACCTACAAAAGATTCTGTCTACATCACGTCTCTGTACTTCACCATGACCAGCCTGACCAGTATTGGCTTTGGAAACATTGCTCCAACCACAGATGGGGAGAAGATCTTCGCCGTGGCCATGATGATGATCGGATGTGAGTTGAAAAGCTTTATATACTCCCCATAAACACCTGAGTGAAAAATACAGTGTTCATTTAAGACTATTCATCATATACGTAATGTGAGAACAAGGGATGGTGCTTGTAAGTATTAGGGATTTAGTTCTATGCACACACTTAAATCTAGAATAGATCTATTATGTTGAGACTTTTTAGGAATATTTGGCTACCATGCACAGAGATCCGTATTTCTTGAAGAGATACTAGGAAATGTGAGTGACTCATTGTGTCATTGTGAAAAGTACATATAAATACGCATTAGAACAACAATAATCCCTTAGATGCTGACCCAGCAAGCTTAATGGTGAGTCAGCTGCAAACACTTTTATATGGAACTTTGGGGCTATTTATTAAATATTTACTGGTTATTGTTTTACTGTTGGGCTGGTTTTATTTCACTGGTCTTGTTGTCAGCACTGTTGTGCTGTGATGATCAGTGCTTTTATTTTTACTAAATGCTGTTTGTTGCCATTGTAATTGACCGTTATTGAGGTTTATGAGTTAAGTGTTGATGGTCTGTGTATCTTTTTGAAAAAAGCATCGTTTTGTTGCAAGATATCCTTCCAAGTTGTAGGACAATTAAACAATGCATCATATTTAGCTATTTCTTGTTTTATATTTTTCGCCACTGTATGTTTTCTAGTTACTTGGGTCAAAAATCTTTGCTTCAGGTTGCCCTGATATGTTCCAATGTGAACTGATTTGTTTCTGATCACATTACCAATTAAAATCGGTTTGGATTGATTTGTGACTGCTTCTGCTGACTAAGACAGCTACCTTTGATTTGGTTCTGTTAGCAAACAAAGATTTGTTAGATGAGAGAAATAATGGAGTGTTGAATCTATAGACGACGCCTGTAGGGTCATCCACGGCGGGGCTCTCTTAGATCATCCTGCCATTGAGCTGTGATTCACCACTCAGAGGAAAATGATTCAGTTCCATTATATGTGCTATTAAACATGACCAGCTGCCAGTACGCTGTAATTTATATGGTAAAACTCCCTCAGGAGAGATTATCCGAGTAAACATTGCTGCTTTTTGAGCAAACAAACATAGCGAGGTTCAGGAACTAAATAGAAAGAGGTGCACGGGGTCTAGAATTTATGTACAAATTTAAATAATCAAAAGATATTTAAACTAATAAACAACACAATGTAGGACGAGGCTGTTTTGTTACATGAAAGGAAAAGGACCTATTCTACATTGATTTGTATATTTAATTGTCCATGCCCATTTCTCCTTTAGATTACTTTGGACATCATCTAATTTTCTTATCTCTAAAAACAATAATTATCAAATAACACAGTTAAATGTAATATTTTGCAAACCTCAAAATGAATAACATTTTCATAATGTTTTCATACTGTTACTTTACCATTTGTCACTACTTTTCATGCATAATATTACTGTACATGTTGAGATTCACTTTATAGGCATTTGGCTTTTATGGCATTTATAATAATGATTTAATAATAATAACTGATAACTGATTTAAGTCTTTACTGTTTTATTTATTTATTTAGCCAAAATAGTATGTTTTTTTTATTCATTCATATTGGCCTGAATTGGCCTATTCTGTATCAGTGAATGCATAGAACATTTAATTCTGTTCTATTCTATTCTATTTATTTATTTATTTATTTCTATTTAATCTATTTATTTATATTCTGGGAAATTGATTGTAAAATGTTAATGACTTAATCATGGACATCTCTTTTGTACAATAATGTGACATGAACCCATATCACATAATCACACATAAAGGAAATAAAAAAATACATATTAAATGTAAGTATATGAAGCTTTTGAGCTTAAGTATCAGTTCACATTGCATTACATAATAGCCTATATGTTTTATGCTCGTTTAACAACAGTGTTAAAGGGACACTTCACCCATTTGCATTAAGCTTTGTATCTTTAGAAACCCAGTCATATTTTGAATGGCCATGGTTTATTCCCTTATTTTCCCCTGAGATGGGAAATCGTAATTTTGTGTCATGATAAGCAGGAAGTCACATTTCATTAAAAAGTGTAGAGACTACAAACATTAGCTCATTATTGTTCAAGGGTGTGGGACCCACTCCCCCTACAGGCCTATTACAGATCAGTGGGTGGGACTTCACTTGCAGAAACGGAATCAATATCAGCCATCTTGTTTGGAAGCTAAGCTAACAAGCCCTGTGGAGATATGAAGTTATGATAATGATGGAAGAAACTAAACATGATATGGAAGAAGAGGATTTTTGAAATTCTGCTGCTCGAATCCGATGTTCGTGGCTATCTTTACGAGTCGCAATATAGTAAAGAGCAGCTGAGGCTGATGGAGGAACAGGAGGCGGCTGCCTGTCACGGTCGAGGAGCCCGGACTGGGTCGAGCTGGGCGGACTGCTGGTGCATGTGCTCTCGCTGTGAACTACGAACACAGATAGAGTCCGTCAGCTCCAGAGAATTTCAACAACGGCAATTTCTCCTGAACGAAATCTCTGAATCAGACGAGCACACGGACGTTTGTGTTGTGATGTGAACCATCCTAGTTTTGCCTAACTGAACATCCAGGTATCATGCAGTAATTCACCATATAGAAATAAATACAAACAAGGAGTAATTCACTAATACGTTTGCCAATTTAACGTTAACAGGGTTCGTTGTTGTGGGAAGAAGGAGGCGGGAACCGGCGAACATTTAAACATTTTAATAGTAAAAAGAACAAATACAAATGAAAGTATAAGCCAGCAGCCCCTTATTGACGACTGCTGTAACGTTACTCACAACAGAAACAAAACGCAACATAAAATCAGGCCTGTTTCTCTCTCTATCTGCCGTCGTAACTCCTCATTTTATGCTTTCGCTCCTCCGTGAGAGATGTGAGACCGGTGCGTCTCTGTCTTTCATTATCACTCACGCCACCGGCTTTGCGCCGTCACGTCCCTCGCCCTCGATCGTCCCTGCAGCCAACTAACTAGAAATTTTGTGTGAAGTGAATTTCAAACTCTGGTGACAGCTAACGTTAGCCTTGTAGACGGAAGAGTGATTTCTCTGTTTGCGCTGTTCCGGATTAGTGGGTGTGGCTTGCGGAGCTGTGCAATGTGGTGCATTGTGGGAGTTGTTGTCTTACATAATACATACAAATGCGCCCTTCGGTTATTTTCGGTCTTTTCTCGGTCAAGGGCATCAATACATTTCGACTACATACAGTATATGATCCACTTTCAATAAAGATTAATGTTGAAATGGGTGAAATGCTCCTTTAATGTTCAACCGGCATCACAGCAGTTTGTTCTCAAACGCTTCAAGGTGATGTAAACTTACATGATTTTGTTCCATGAGCGCATTTCAGATTTCTAAAGCCTGCTGATGTTTCATCATGTTTATAGTGATGGCACGAAGAGTAAACACTTGATTGGAGCACCATTTTGCATCATTCTCAAGGGCTTTATTTCACAGTCTAGAGAAGTTGTGAGAGAAACGTGTCTCTTCTTTTGAAACAAAAACAGAAGTGCAGATGCTGATTTCATGGGTTGCTCGGGGAACAGAGCTGGCAGCAGGTGCTGGAATGCCTGTTTTGTTTCCATGGCAACCCATGGCTTGGGGCACTAGTTTAATGACCGATTGAAAATGTAAATCTGACTGAGACAGGCTAACAGGTAGAGAGATACATGCCTGGCTTGTTTTCTTCACATATAGTGTTTTGAAGATCGCCTGTGCATGTGCTGATGTACACGTGAGATGGGGAAAACCACATAGCAGCTTTCATCATTCTCCTGCTGGAGTTTTTGTCAGCTAATGACTTCATACATATTAGATATGCATTCATAAGGCACACATAGGCAAATTCAGTATTTGTATTTTGTACAGTATTTGTGTTTTGCCATGTTTGATCGATTGCTTAACTTTCTCTCTTTAGCACCAGGCATTGATGTTCCTCACGTGTTTTTAGAATGCATGTGCACATGTTGTGATGTCACAAAAGTGCAAAGGCTTATGAATATTGATTAGGTTATGCACAAATCCTTGAACATGATGTTTTTTAATGTTTTGATAAATAATCTGTGATGTAAAGTATCAGGTCTTTTCAGACGGTTTGATCATTTCCAAGTCAAAAGTGAAATGTAAATCAAAACATTATGACAAAGTCATAATGGAAATCCAATAAGATACAGATTTCTCTAGCACATTCAGATCCTATGTTCTCACTGCAGTGTGATCTGATGGAGCTTTCATTATTGTTGACTGATTCAAGTGTTCAAATTAGATATTTTATTTGGAAAATTCAATCCATCTGACACGGAAAAGTGACAAGGTTTCTGATTCACCCGAACAATATATGAAGATGAAAACGGGCACAGAAAAATGTTAACTAAAAATACAATAAAAATAAACTTCAAATATAAATGTGCACTACAATATGAATAATTTTCATTGTATCAATTTCACAAGCTGTCCAAGATTTCTAACCATCAGTGGCTGACCAAATAACAACTAATGCAAATACTGCCACATCTAGCATACACTTCTACAGCTGTTCACTATATGGATGACTACAACTCTCATTTAGGTGATCTATTTAGGTGGTCGTGGCCAGGGCCTAGTATGTGTGATGTCACAAAAGCCACTGCAAATGGCTTGTTTTGAGACAATGCTTATAATTTATGGGGATTAATAAAAAGAGGAGTGGGTGTATTTTTACTATTATAGGGTGGTTGAGTACACACACTGCCTATAAATTTATGTTCAAACACCATGTGAAAGTGGATTTTGCATTATAATAGGTTACATTTAAATCTAAAACTAAATGAAGAAGAAGAAAAACACTTCAAACTTCAGCCAGATGAGTGACTTTGAGAGTTATAAGCTGATACAATTGGCCAGATTATTTGATGAACCTGATCCTCTGACACATCACCATCAGAGTGAACAGAACGTGTCCGCCAGAAATGGGAAGCTAAAATGAGCCTGAACGGCTTATCCGTTCTTTA